GTTTGGAAGGTTATAGCTAATGTAAAATTTACTTTGCTTTCACCACTGAGCGCTGTTGTTTGCTTTACAGCTATTTCATTTCAATGGTCAGCTGATGAATCTGATGTACCTATTTAATAGAACATTCCAGGAGATCATTCCTTTTATAAGAACTTCTAATAAATTCCACAAACCAATGATATTAACCATTTATTATTGTTAGCTTAATATTTTGAAATAGTGCTATTGGAAATATGATTTAAAGAAATAATAGTCAAAGCTAATACCTATTGCACCCTTTATCTCTCTCAAAAATGAATGCTTAATTTTCCTCTATTCTTCCCTTTCAAAGTAAGAACAAAACACCATCAAGTCATCAGTAAGTTTTTAAAATATTCTTTCATTTTTAAAATAGACTATTCAAAACTTAGAAGTACAAATTTAACAATTTTAACTTTAGGACGATGTATATTCAAATCCCTTTTTAAATATTCTTTTTTGAGACAAGGTCACACAGGCTGGAGTGCAGTGACACAATCATAGCTCACTGCAGCCTTGAGCTCCTGGGCTCAAGCAATCTTCATGCCTTGGCCTCCTAAGTAGTTGGGACTACAGGTGCAAGCCACCACATCCATCTAGATTTTTTAAAAACATTGTAGAGATGGGGTCTTGTTATGCTGACCATCCTGGTCTTGAACTCCTGGCCTCAAGCAATCCTCTCACCTTGGCCTTCCAAAATGCTGGAATTACAGATATGAACAACTGCAACTGGCCCATTGTTCGATTTACACATGCTGAACCAACCTTGCATTCCTGAGATAAATCCCACTTGGCCATGGTGTATAATTATTTTTATGTGACACTAGAGTCAGTTTGCTAACATTTTGTTGAGAATGTTTGCATCCATATTCGTAAGGGAAATTGGTATTTATTTTTTTCCTTGTGTTATCACTGTTTGGTTTTGTCATCAGGTTAATACTGGCCTCTATAGAAGAGAGTTGAGAAATAGTCCCTGCTCCTCTATTTTTTGAATGACTGTATCAAGTATTGGTGTTAATTCTTGTTTAAACATTTGGTAGAATTCACCAGTGAAGACATCTGGTCCTGGGCTTTTCTTTGTGTAAAGTTTTTGATTACTGGTTCAATCTCTTATTACAGTCTATTCAGGTTTTGTGTTAGGTTGGTATAAAAGTAATTGTGGTTTTTGCCATTGAAAATAATGACAAAACCCCAACTACTCTTGCACCAGCCTAATATTTCTCCTTAGTCAGTTTTGGCAATTACAGGTCTATTCACATTTTCCTTAGTTAATTTTGGTAGTTCGTGTTTTCTATTTAATCTAAGGTTTTTTTCCATTTCATTTAGGTTTTCTAATTTTTTGGCTTAAAATTGTTTATAATATTCCCTTATAATATCTTTTAAGACCTGTGAAACAGGTCATACTTTTCTCTATTTTTTCTTAATTTTAGTAATTTATTAAATTTAACAACAAATTACTTAAATTTAGTAATTTAGTAGCCCTCTCTCTTTTTTCACCATCAGTCTAGCTAAATCTTTGCCAATTTTGTTGAACTTTCCAAAGTTTATTTTAGTTTATTTTCTCTATTGCTTTTCTATTCTCTGTTTTATTTATTTCCACTCTAATTTAATAATTTTCTTTCTTCAGCTTGTATTGGTTTTAGTATGCGCTTCTTTTTCTAGCTTCTTAAGGTAAAAGTCTGGGTTACTGATTTGAGACATTTAAAAAATATATAGATATCTCAGCTAAAATTTTCTCTCTAAGCACAACTTTTATTGCATCCTGTAAGTTGTGGCATGTTGCATTTTCATTTTTATTCATTTCAGAATATTTTATAATGTCCCTTGTGATTTCTTCTTTGATTCATCGGTTATTTTAATATGTTTAATTTTCACATATTTGTGAATTTCCTAAATTTTCTTCTGCCATTGCTTTCTAATTTCATTTCATTATAGCTGGAAAACATACTGTGTATGATTTTAACTCTTTTAAATTTATTAAGACTTGTTACCTGTTTTATGGCCTAATATATGACCTAATATACAGTCTATCCTGGAGAATGTTTCATATGCACTTGAAAATAATATGTATTCTGCTGTTGCTAAATGGAGTATTCTGTTAGGTATTGTTGGTTTCTAATGTTATTCAAGTCTTCTTTTCTCATGTTGATACTCTGTTTCATTGTTTTCTCATTTATCAGAGAAAATTATTTTGAAGATTAATGTTTTTCATCAAATTGTATTAAAGTCTTCAGCTATTATTGTCAAATTGTCTATCTCTTCATTTGTGTCACTTTTTGCTCCATGTATTTTGGGTTTCTATTATTAGGTGCATATATATATGTTTATGATATATTTTCTTAATGGATCAGCCCTTTTATTATTGTAAAATTCCCCTCAATGTTTTATTTTTAGTAACATTTTTGTTTTATTATATATTTTGCTTGATATTAATGTAGGCATTCTAGCTCTTTTGCATACTCCCTACAGAGTATATCTTTTTCCATCTTTTTACTTTTAACCTATATATGTCTTTGAATCCAAAGTGTCCCTTGATAGACACTATAGTTGGATCATTTTAAAAAACCCATTCTGCCAACTTCTGCTTTTTAATTGGAGTATGTTATCCAGCCACATTTAACATAGTTGCTGATAAGGTAGATTTATTGGCAGTTTGCCTTGCTTTCTACATCTTGTTATTTTGTTCCCTCATTATTCTCTATTGTGTTAAACACATATTTTCTTGGGTACAATTTTAATTGACTTGTCATTTCTTTTACCTTTTTAAAGTTATTTTCTTGGTGATTTTCCTGGTTAATAAAATTAATATCTTCTACCAATCTAGTTCAGATTAATACCTATTTAATTTCAATAGCATATAGAACTTTATTTCTTTTCTTTCTTTTTTTTTTTTTTTTTTTTTTGAGACAGAGTTTCGCTCTTGTTACCCAGGCTGGAGTGCAATGGCGCGATCTCGGCTCACCGCAACCTCCGTCTCCTGGGTTCAGGCAATTCTCCTGCCTCAGCCTCCTGAGTAGCTGGGATTACAGGCACGCGCCACCATGCCCAGCTAATTTTTTGTATTTTTAGTAGAGACGGGGTTTCACCATGTTGACCAGGATGGTCTCGATCTCTTGATCTTGTGATCCACCCGCCTCGGCCTCCCAAAGTGCTGGGATTACAGGCTTGAGCCACCGCGCCCGGCCACTTTATTTCTATATAGTTATCTCTCCCCTTTGTGTTACGTTGTCATACAAATTACATCTTTACCAATTATAAACCTATGAATATAAATTTATAATTATTGCTTTATGCAGTGGTCTTTTCAATAAAAAAGTTACAAATAAAAACACATTTATAGTTCTCTAGATATATATATGCCTATAATGATGTTTTTATTTTTCATGTGATTAAAGTTACTCATTGGTGTCCTTTTATTTCAGCCCAAATGATGACCTTTAATATTTCTTTGTAAAGAAGGTTTGCTAACAATGGAGTCAGTCACTTACTGTTTATATGGTAATGTCTTAATTTTTCTTTCATGTTTGAAAGGCACTTTTGGTGGACATAGAATTATTGGTTGATAGTCCCTTTTAGCACTTTAAATATATCATCCCACTCCACTTTGGCCTCCATTATTCTGTAAGAAATCAGTGTTAATCATATTGAGGATAAGATTTTTGAGGATAAGGTAAGTGATGAATTGCTTCCTTCTTGCTGTTTTTAAGGTTCTCTTTTTGTCTTCCCTTTTGACAGTTTGATCATAATGTGTCAAGGCACGGATCTCTTTGACTTTATCCTGGCTGGAGTTAGTTGGGCTCCTCAAATTTGAGAAATTTTCAGCCATTATTTCTTCAGCTATTCTTTCTGTTCTTTTGTCTCTTTCCTGTCTTTCTGGGACTTCAACTATGTGTATTTAGTAGACTTCATGGTGTCCCACAGGTCTCTGTACATTTTCATTTTTAAAAATCTTTTTGTTCCTAAGACTGGATAATTTCAGTTGATTTCCTTCCTTCCTCCCTCCCTCCCTCCCTCTCTCTCTCTCTTTCTTTTCTTTCTTTCTTTCTTTTTTTTTTTTAAGACAGTGTCTTGCTCTGTCACCCAGACTTATTGCACTAGATAAGCTCGGATTCAGGCCAATCAAAGACAACCTTGCAAGTGGAGTCCTCCAGGGAGCCATCAAACAGATCAAATAATGGCAATTATTTGTGGTGCTGTTCTGTTTCCTCTGGTGGCTGCCAGGTTGCTGATTTTCATTGTGATTGTAAACTGTTAGTTTTAAAGGCTACTAAGAAGCCAGAGAGATGGGGATGGAAATAGGCCAGTTAAAATGCCACAAAACCACTGTTTTCAACCAAGAGTCAGACTTTTTTTTTCTCACTAAATTCACCCTAAGTTGCTGCACATCTTTTTTTAAATTCCAGAGTTCTGAAACAGTTAATTTTGACAATTTTTCTCAGTTTCCTCATTGCTTTCCTGGAGAAGAGGTTTTTCGGAGGTCCATCCTCTATCTAATTTTCACTGATGTTCAGAATACATTCTTTTTAAAAATTGCAGTAAAATATTAAAAAATATCCTTTTTTGTGGCACTGTTTACAATAGCAAAGACCTGGAACCAACCCAAATGTCCATCAGCGATAGACTGGATAAAGAAAATGTGGCACATATACACCATGGAATACGATGTAGCCATAAAAAAGATGAGTTCGTGTCCTTCATAGGGACATGGATGAATCTGGAAACCATCATTCTCAGCAAACTGACACAAGAACAGAAAACCAAACACCGCATGGTATCACTCACAGGTGGGTGTTGAACAGTTAGAACACACGGACATAGGGAGGGAAGCATCACACACTGCGGTCAGTTTGGGGGAGCTAAGGGAGGGACAACAGGGGGTGGAGAGGGTGGGGAGGGATAACGAGGGGAAAAATAACAGATACAGATGATGGGTGGATGAAGGCAGCAAACCACCTTGCCATGTATGTACCTATGCAACAATCCTGCATGATCTGCACATGTACCCCAGAACCTAAAGTACAATTAAAAAGAAAAAGAAAAAAAAAGAATATCCTTTCTTGTAATAACAAACATCAACAATGAAATTTCAATACTGCCAGTTACCTACTTCAAATTAAATAGAATTGAAACATTTGGGATGAAGAAATTCATTTCCTTAGAGATAAAGAAATTTAAACAACAACAACAAAAAAAACTCAAAAAATACAATTTAGAGAATACAATTTCTTTTTCTAAAATAAATCCCAAATTGTTCTAGAAGTTAAATTTCTTTTCAAAGTCTTTCCTCATAGATAGCTCCCAGTAATTAAAGACAATTGACTTCAGAAATTTGATACTTGTTTCTGATATTCCAGTCAAAAATTTCTCATACTGAAAGCTCTAGAACTAAGTGCCAGTTGTGTTGATACTCCCAAAATGCCCAGGAAGAGGTCTTATTCTGAGCAGCAGTGCACTAAAGTTTCCCAGTTGACCCTCCACATCTGAGTAGCACTGAACAGAAACAGAGGTAATTGAAAGAGAAAGAAGCCTGAATCAAATTGGTGATCAAGAGAATGGAAATCCTCCTATGGGTGGTTAAAGGAATGGAAGAGAAGACTGTGGCAAGTCCTAGACCAGGTGTAGGATGGTCATGGCAAATAAAGGTGGCTTCCAGTTGTCCTTAATAACAGCACCAGCTTGTGCCTGGTTGTGGTTGTTACTTAGGAGCCTAGATGGCATGCTTCACATGCTCCATATGGTGCTTCACATGCTCCATACTTCTAGGTTGTGGGCCTGCATGCTAAACATCCACGGTTCTGAGGTGTCAAATCACCAGTAAAATAGTCATGAGTTCCGGCCCAAGTCATTAACTGGGTTATCACTTTGTTTTACCTGGCCAGCCCAGTGCACAATATAGAATTGCTTTGTAATAAATTTTCTTTGTTATCTAGCTATTAGAGTTGTGTGTCATCCAGGATCTCCACATCTTGATGCTCAACTCCAGAAAGCCCCAGACACATTTAGAACTCAAACTCTTCAAGAGTCTCAAAAACCGGGGACATCAAAGCATACAGCTTCCATTGCCCATGCTGATGGATACCAAGAGAAGGCTGAGGAATATGTCCTTGGGCGGCTATGGGAAAGTGACTTAGGTATTAGTCCCTAGATTGTCTCTGTTTTTGCCAGTGATACTATTAGCATTCCAAGTAGGACTTTTTTTAAATTGTGGACTAATAAGGTACATGAGAAAGTTTGGGTCAGGAAATTGTTGACAGTGTTGAAGAACAGCATGATTATGTTGTGCTGTATTTCTGCATGTTAGATTCCACTCTAATAAGAGATGGTAAAGAGCCCTGACTTCTCTGTTACCAGAATAATTTTATTTTTTGAGATAGAGTCTGGTTGTATCACCCATGCTAGAGCATGATCCTGGCTTGCTGCAGTCTCAATTTCCTAGGCTCAAGGATCCTCCCATCTCAGCCTCTTGAGTAGCTCAAGAGGCTTGACTTCAACTACATGCCACCACATAGTACTGTACATGTGATATTCTCTCTGTTACAAATTTAATGAAATACCCAAATGAATACATTTTTGGAAGTGGTCTTCAAATAAAAGGGTGAAAGGTTTCTAACTGCCTTTGAAGAGAAGCAGCTTTGAACCAAGAGTAAGATGTGATTGTTTCCCATCTTCAAATTTAGTCCAGATGATCTTTTCTGGCTTTGCTAAATTCTGTTCATTTTCTCAACAATGTGTAAATCCAGTACATGTAAAAACTAAATTACTAATTGTAACTGTTCTTTTAGCTTCAGTGTCTAAATGATTCAGCATATTGCCTTTTCAACATGTTCCCAAATGAACTGCCTCTATACTTTCCACAGTTGAATACTTCCCTGGCTCTGATACCAATTGGGACTAAGGCAATCAAAAAGAGATAAATCTTGATCAGAATTCTATGCCTTTTCCTGATATTCATGGAAAATCAGCTAAGTATGCAAAGAAGAAAAATATCTGACCAAAAGAGCCAGGTTCAAACATCTCTATAAAGCACTTAAAGTGAAAGGAAATATTATATTAATTTTCCTCTGACTATTAAGAACTCACATTTAGCTGGGCATGGTGGTTCATACCTGTAATCCTAGCACTTTGGGAAGTAGAGATGGGAAGATCCTTCGAGCACAGGAGTTCCAGACCAGCCTGGGAAACATGGAGAAACTCCATTTCTACAAATAAATTAAAAAAAAAAAATAGCTGGGTGTGGTGGCACACATCTGCCATCACAACTACTTTGGAGGCTGAGGTGGTCAGATTCCTTAAGCCCAGGAGATTGAGAGTGCAGTGAGCCATGAACATGTGCCACTGCACTCCAGCCTGGGCGACAGACAGAGGCCCTATCTCAAATAGTTTTTGAAAAAAGGATTAATGGCCTGGCACGGTAGCTCATGCCTTTAATCCCAGGTCAGGAGTTCAAGACCAGTCTGGCCAACATAGTGAAACCCGTCTCTATTAAAAATACAAAAAATTAGCTGGATGTGGTGGTGTGCACCTGAAATCCCAGCTACTCAGGAGGTTGAGGCAAGAGAATCATGTGATTCTGTTGCAGAACAATACCACCCAAAAGAGCATTGCTCAGTCACAATTTTAGTGTTTGTGCCAAACACTAAAACTTTTACCTGGGTGTGGCAAAGTTGAGCTAAGCTTTTAAATTAAGGCTTGGGAGGCAGATGTTGCAGTGAGCAAAGATCTTGCCATTGCACTCCAGCCTAAGCAACACTGCAAGACTCCATCTCAAAAAAAAAAAAAAAAAAAAAAAGATTTATGCATTTGATGATCAGTTACATAAAGTGACACTATTTAAATGTGATAATAACTACACTTTAACAGATGTTTGAAAGCATGTCAATCTTAAACTCTTTTGCTTTTGGGGGAATTTTAAAAATCTTTGAGAAATTATCTTTTCTCTAGTCACGAGTATTTAATTCCTAGAAAGTTCTATGGATGTTCTATGGAAGAGGAAATGCTTATAAGAAGAAAATTAATTTTTTCCTAATACATTTTCCTAATTAGGAGCTAAATATTCTGTTGCTTAAAATACTTTTTTTGATTTCGCTCAAGATAACCACAGGATTTGATGTTTTGGCTGCTTCCAGATTTTATTCTTAGATGTAGCTAATTAAGAGTTTCATAACAATATTGCCCTCTTCTTTTTAGAACCTTCTATTCTTACATAACTTCGTTTAATTACATCGTGTAGGAGGTAGAATGCTGATATGGATGGACAGTTTCTATCCCAGAAAGATCATATATAATCCTAAATCATGTTAGGTTAAATTCTGAAGGAGGGAACCAAGTCAGGAAAAAAAGAAAGTATCTTTCTCCTATATCACCATACAAATGGCAAGTAAATAATAATAAAGAAGGATTGGATAGGACCCTATTACCTTGAAGTATTTAGATCTCATATAAGCATGTATTTTCTTGAAAATAAAAATGAGGCCAGGCGCTGTGGCTCACGCCTGTAACCCCAGCGCTTTGGGAGGACAAGGTGGGCAGATCAGGAGGTCAAGAGATGGAGACCATCCTGGCCAACATGGTGAAACGCTGTCTCTACTAATAATACAAAAATCAGCTGGGTGTGGTGGTGCATGCCTGTAATCCCAGCTACTAGGCACGCTGAGGCAGGTGAATTGGTTGAATCCAGGAGACAGAGATTGCAGTGAGCTGAGATAGCGCCACTGCACTCCAGCTTGGCTACAGAGCGAAACTCTATCTCAAAAAAAAAAAAAAAAAAAAAAAAAATGGCCCTCAGATTGGTAACACATCTCAGAATTTATGAAACAAATAATTGACATCCTACCAGACATCTTAATCAACAATGTTTTTGTGCCGAATGCAAAAGAACAGTCAGTTTTTAAAATGGCATAGGTTTAATTTTTTTCCTCAGTCATCATGAACACACTTTAGATAAACCAAAGAGTAATTATCCATACTGGTCTATATTTGTGTCCATATTTTGGCCAATATAAGCACATAAAATATTGAAATATTAATTGCAAATGTCAACACAGAAAATGAACTAAATTACTTTCATTTGAGTACTATGTTCCTAAAAAGATAATATATTACTATATCTTAACATTCTCGTCTATCCTCAAAACTTCGTTAACCATAGACAAAACTGCTTTGGACATATTATACACGACACATTATACTAATATATTCACAAGTGAAATTATAAAATTGGTGGTTTGGAACTCTCTCTACATTATTTTATAAAATTTGAAATGAGTTACTTTAAAAAGCTATTTGAAATCACCATTAAAAGAAAATGAATTTCTTTTTGCTCCCCATTAGTGAAAAAGAAGGAGGAGTTAAGACTGCATTGGCAAGCTAGGACTAAAGGAGAGAATACGCATGGATTAACTACAGAAAAAGCAGAATCAATATATAAACAAAATGTTCTATCGACTAAGGATTCTTGATTGAAATACAAAACATTCAAAGCCAAACAACTACTTTTTCAGTCCTTCTGTTAATGAAACCTAAGCCATTCCTGGATTTGGCATTTTGCTCTACTCCTGCTACTCGCCTTGAACCAGACCAAAAGAGACCTCAACAATGGGCAAAACAGTAAAAAAGGACTGTCCACAGAAAAATTGAGATGAGGCTCAATAGAATCTTATTAACACTTAACTGAATTCAAAGCTGTTCCTGAAACTGGGGTTTGCCTCGCTAACCCTCTCTGCACCCTGAGCAAGGAAGTTAGGGATAATCGGCTTCAGGAATTTGAACTCATTTGTCCCGGAACCTCCCGCCAGACACACCTCGTACTGGTAGCTCTGGGA